GGCTGGCATGAATCACTAAGGAGATAGGAGCAATGAAGGACCTGCGCTGTACTGCACTACGAAGCAGCAAGCGCAGCATGTGTATGTGACAAGCTAACAGGGCTTCCCCGTGTGTGTATAGTTACAATGCGTACCTAGAAACAAATTACAATGGGGGGAATTTATCAAAACTGGAGCAGACAAATTGTGGAGCAGATTTGCACTGCAACCAATCAGCTTCTCTGTCTCATTTTCAAATCTTACCTGAGCAAACTGAAGAGAGAAGCTGATTGGTTGCCATGGGCAACTGCTCCAGATCTGTCTGCTCCAGTTTTGATAAATTCCCCCCCCATTGTATCTCCATCTTCCTGGTGCTGTGGGACTTTTACACAATTGATGTTTTATGTTCATTTTTGTGAACTTTTCCAGTTGAAGTTCACGCTGCTCATATTTTGCCTTCCCCGGTCCCCCCCAATTTATCTCCTAAACTATAATTTTACCATTATTCACTTATTTTAGACCCAGTGACGTCATCACTGAGTCCATGTGTTGCACTGTGCAATGCAGGCAGATCATGGCTGGTGGGAGGGGCTGGCAGGATGATGACCATAGCTTCCTTAAAACATCACAGCACCCTGCCTCAGCCCTAATGCAAGCAGTGGGATGGCTCTTGGGAGGAGTTATGCAAAAGCCTTAACAGGTGGGTGGAAATGGGCCTTCCTAGGCTGCATTTGCATGCAGACCTCTCCAAATAATGTCAAGAGGGGGGTGCGGCCCGCACCCAGGCGTCACCATTGGAGGGGTGACACCAAAATGACTGACAGTCATTTTGTTGTCGCCCCCTATGAAAAGTTGGGCACTCGGTCACGGACCGAGAGCCCGACAGTGTCAAGAGAGAGGAGGGGACCCGGTGGCATACCTCATCCCGCCGGGTGAACGTCCCCTCCTCTCTCTGCCGGGGTCCATCACCAAGATCGCGCACTACAACGTCACGCGTATGCACAATGACGTCACGCCGGTGTGTCACCCGGTCTCCGCTCTGGGTGACACCCAGCCTCGAGACGCCCTAGGTCAGCGGTGGCAAACCTTGGCACTCCAGCTGTTTTGCAACTACAAGTTCCATGAGGCATTGCAAGGCTCTGACAGCCACAGACATAACTCCCCGAGGCAGATGCATGTTGGGATTTGTAGTTTTGGCACAGCTGGAGTGCCAAGGTTCGCCACCACTGCCCTAGGTGATGCTGAGCCTCCATGAACTGAAATCCAATGAATAAAAGGGGCGGGTCAGGGACAGTCAGGCTGGGAAAGAAGCGCTAGATGATGTTGGACATCTTCCAGCCAGGAAATGAGGCGGAGCTCTATCTGACTTGCTGCAGCTTCTTATGCACCTTGTGAGACACTCACAGTGTGCAGTGAAAACAGAGGAAGCCATTTCAGTCCAGAAGAGGAGCCGGTGTTCTGTCGAAAATGACTAACTCGTCGAGATCTCCAACTCGTGACGTCACATCCGTTGGAGACTTCGAGGAGATGGCATTTTTACAAGCCTCGCGCTGACGTCCCCATTTGCCGTCAGTACGCCTGTGCAGCCTTGCAATCCTCATCGAGTTCTCCAACCGGCCTTGGTACTTGTGCCATGGGATGCCCACGCAGGCGCACTAACGCAAATTGGAGAAAGTGATCCCGCGCTTAGGCGGCCTCACAGGCGCAATGACGGGAGTTGGAAATCTCGACAAGTTGGACATCTTGATAGAACACCGGGTACGACTTTGCAAGGGTGAAAGGGAAGGTCGGGGCTCAGATTTTACAGGGAAACATAATCCTAATGGTGAGCAATGGGACTCATCACAGCATGAAATGCGGACTTTGTATCTCCAGTAACTCAGGATGTTGTAAAGCTTCCAGGGAAATGTTTTTTGTATATTCGCTATGAAGAGGAACTGTCATTTCTTAGTGTCTGTTATATCTCTGTGTAACGCAGCCTTAGGGAGAGAACTCTGTGTGGAAGCAGTGGTCTCTCTGCACCCGTCCAACATGCTGCAACAGTATCAATCCAGCTTACTAAAAAAAAGGCTTTTAAGTGATATTAAAGCAGAATGTTTTTAAAGGAGAACTATGAGGTGAGTGCTTTTCACTCACCTCATAGTCCTAGCCGACCTGTGACAATGAGACTGTGACAGGTCGGCTCAGTAGATCGGGAAGTGAGCGAACACATACCGGCGTTCACTCCCCCCTCGATCCTGTCACAGCTCTCTGCCGTGACAGGGGAGGGGCTGGATTCACCCCTCCCCGCTCCGATCCGCCAGCGCTGACTGGCGGAACGGACGGGGGAGGGGGCGGGTAGAGCTGGCTCTGCCTCTAGATAGGCAGAGCCAGCTGTCAGTCACGCAGCTGGGTGGATCCCGGCACAATTGTCGGGATCCGCTTCAGCTGCGGCGTCTCAGTATACCGCGAGCTGTAGCTCTGGGTGACGGGAGGACGCTAGTTTGTGTCCTCCCGTTACCCTAAGGAGAACTATGGGGAAAAGCCCTGAGCCCTTTAAGCTATTTCAAATGCTAATGAAATCACTTACAATGGATGTTGCTCCTTGATGTTTAAAAGTTGTAGCTTAATGTGGAATCAGCTGGTCCCCTGAACGCTGGTACTGGTATCCTGTTTTAGGATGGCTCCTTTCCCTTGCAGGGTCCTCTCTCCTGACACTGTCGGTCTCTTGGTCTACAACCGAGTGCCCGACTTTTCAAAGGGGTGACATGTCAACCCTCCAATGGTGTCACCCGGGTGCGGGCCGCAGCCCCCTTGTGACGCCACTGTACACAGTCACAGCAAACCACTCCCCTCCTTCCTGCTTCCACCCTTCTACAAGCCAGTAGATGGACATCTACTGGAGACTGCTCTGTCCCTTGTGATTTTGTTCTGAACAGGAAGTTCAGTGAAGCCGAGCTGAGAGAGTTGGAGCTGTTCAGAAACATGACTGTAAATCCCCGTTCACACCTTCGCATTCCATGAACATGCACCAAATGCGTGTCACGCGCGAACTTCGACACGCGTTCACGGAACACGTCCAAAACGTGTGTTGCGCTTGTGGCGCCAATACTTGTTAATATGACCCAAACGCGGCTGGGAAGTTGCGCACTTTGTTGACGCGCATTAAGCCGCGCACGATCGCGGCGGAAAAAGCACAGGAGGCAAGCGGCAGAATTTGTCACATGAGCTACTTTCCCCCGTTTGTCGTGCGTGCGGCGCGGCAAGTGCAGGAAAAAACGCGTGCGAATGCAAAGCATGTTCCTGGTACGCGGAGGTGTGAACAGGGACTACGTGTTGGGGTAAAAATGTGAAGAAATACGTCGCTGGGCGATGAGTATATATATATATATATACACAGTGTATATCTATAATCCAACATGGAGGCTGTTGTGTTTGTTTATAAAACGGTTTCTAACCCGTCAGGATTATTTTTTTGTAATCTGTGGGAGAGATTTCCCCTCACTTCCTGTCTAGCAGACACTACAGGGAGTGAAGGAAATCCCCTCTTAGACGGTTGTCACCAGAACAAGTGTTCCCCTCTGTTCCTGTTCAGATGAGAACTCTGGATTTTGGATTCAGTCCTGGTAACGCCTGCTGGGTTTTTCCTGCTACCTGGGGCTCTGTCAGGGAGATTTCCCCTCGTCTCCCGACCTTCTGACAATAGTTAGTGAGATAAAGCCAAAACAAATTACAAGATCACATTAGTAGCTGCAACATGTCCCTTCAATCCAGAGACTTCTTCCTGCCACTAGATGTTTTCTGTCTGATGGCCAGCATCATTGACCCCACTTCCTCTGAGCCCAGGTCACCCTGGACCCACCCCCAGCCTGTGGATAGTGAAAGGAGTAGCAGTACAGTGATGAGCTCATCTGTCACCCTGCTTTCTCCTCCTTTCAGCATGCTCCTTGTCAGCGCATGAACTGATTGGCTCCTAGTGCTGCTTTTTCCTCTTACACTCCAGCCCTGCTGTACATAGGCTGCCGCCAGGTCACATTCAGGTGCATTTCATGATCTGTGAATGATTACAGAGCTGCAGTACTGTATGTATTTTAGAGATGAATTGGGTTTGGCTTTAACAATTGGGCATAGGGCCACTTTGAATAAACGTCTTTGTTTTAAAGCTGAACTCCGGGCAGATATAAAAGACACAACAGAGCAGCTCTGCAATCAATAATACGTGAACCTGGTATCAGAATTTTGCAGTCACTGTACAGCAGGGCAGGAGTGTGAGAGGAAGAAGCAGCTCAGTAAGATAGTAGCATGCTGCTAGGAGGAAAGAGGAGAGTGACAGAGAGATGAGCTCATCACTGTGCTGCTTCTCCTTTCACTGGGGCTGGGGAAAACAACTTGGGCTCAGAGGAAGCGGGTTGATACTAGCCATTAGACCTACCTGTAGAGCACCTAGTGGCAGAAAACATGTACTGCGGGGGGAAATCTCCGGGTCGAAGATTACAGCAAAGACTACATTTGTTATTTTATGTTTTCATGTTCATCTTGCTGTTTTTCTGCTGATCTCCTAATTCAGGTGTTTTCCTCCTCACGTAAACTCCCCCGAGCCCTGATTATAAGATTTTGCAGCGTTTCCGAGGAATAGGAAACTTAGGAAAGGCGCGCGTTGCCTCACCGTGCCCCGCGGCCAGCGTCTGATTAATACTGAGAAGTGGTGTAAGCAGCTTCTGAGGAACGGCAGAGCCGCGCTGGAAATCTATGCAGATCAGCCTGTCGGGTCAGTTCCTCCTCCTAGCACAGAGGAAGTGTCTGACATCAGCAGAGGGCTGATAGAAAACAGGCAGGGCTGGGAGTGAGGCAGCAGTGTGCTAGTTTCTAGTGAGGAAGGCAGAGCAGCAGCAGAGCAGCAGCAGCAGAGCAGCAGCAGCAGAGGCAGCCCATAATGAAGGAGCATTGCTCTTCTTACAGCACTGTGTGTCTGAGCTGCGTCGCTCCTGAGCCCACCATGCAGAGCCTGGAGCCTGACTACATGTCAATGTGCTTGTTTGCAGAGGACTCCTACCAAAAACTAGCCATGGACACATTGGAAGAGCTGGACTGGTGCCTGGATCAGCTGGAGACCATTCAGACCTACAGATCGGTCGGCGAAATGGCATCCAACAAGGTGAGGACGGGCTTCTTGGTTGGCTAAAAAAAAAAAAAAATTTTTGTTGGATACTTGGGTTGAAACAAAAAGTTTGTCACCATGTGTATGATTCCTCTGCTTCATCTTCTTCTTCCTCCTCTTATTCTTCATCTTCTTCTTCCTCTTTTTTATCATATTATTATTATTATTATATTATAATTATTCCTTCTTCTCTCCTCTTTCTTCTTCTTTTTCTTCTTCCTCCTCTTCTTCCTTATCTTATTTTTATTATTATTCATCTTCTTCTTCTGTCTTCTTCTTCTTAGTCTTCTTCTTCTTATTCTTCATTTTCTTCTTCCGCTTTTTTATTATCTTATTATTATTATTATTCCTTCTCCTCTTCTCTTTCTTCTTCTTGTCTTCTTCTTCCTCTTATTATTATTATTTTTCTTCTTCCGCTTCTCTTTCACCTTCTTTATCTTCTTCTTATCATTATTAATATTATTCTTTTTCTTCCTTCTCTTCTCCTTCTTCCTCTTCTTCTTCCTCTTATTATTATTCTTTTTCTTCTTCTGCTTCTCCTCCATCTTCTTTATCTTCTTCCTCCTCTTCTACTTCGTCTTCTTCTTCTCTTTCTTCCTTCTCCTTTCGTCTTTCTTCTTCTTTTTCTTCTTGGTCTTTCTTCTTCGTCTTCTTGCTCCTCTACTTCTTCGTCTCCTTCCTCCTCTTTTCCTTCCACGTGTAATTGGCTTTCAGGTCGCATTTAAGAACGTCTTTGTATTCCTGGCTCGTGCATGAAGTGGCTCTCTAGCCCTTGTAGAAGTACAACCTGGCTCTGGGTCTTTTATGTCTTTATGTTCTGCAACAGATGGAGACTTGCATGCTGTTTGGGTGGCCGATGGTGTTTTCTAGTCTCTATTCTTTTTTTCTTTTCATTTCCTCCACATGTATCCGTGCAATCTTCACCTCCAATGGTCCTACACGCAGCCTAAATCTGTTCTTTCAATGCAAGATGTTTTTAGATTTGTTCATATAAACAGGTCCATGGTGGTATCATGCATGATCGGGTGGGTGTAATAATTGAGCACTCCCCGACAGACATCTGCTTACCCTTATGAGGATATGAGAATGTGTATGAGATATGAGAATGTGTATGAGATATGAGAATGTGTATGAGATATGAGAAAGGTCTCTTTGTGAACACGTTTATGTGTAATGCGGTCACAATACAACGAGACCACGCAACGTCCGAGACCCACGGTGGGCTTTTGCAGAGCGAGAGCTTGAGCCGGGCTCACTTGTGGCAGCGGCAAGATCATTTTTAAACAATTGCATGTAATATGATTATTTTACTGCCTTCCCTGAAGGGATCATTTAATATTTGGTTTACAAAATGAAATCCGCATTAGATCTGATTATGGAGAATTGTTACGGAGGAGTCGTAGTAGAGTGTTGAGGGGAAATTTGAAGTAGCAAGTCAATAGATGCAAACTTGCTCTATGGGCTTTGGGCAATGCTTGTACCGAGGTATGGCGTGTGCCTTTGACCCCGCGAAGAGTTGGGGGTAAAGATACTAACGAGGGTTACAGATAGAATTCTTTATATGGTTTGTGCTGCTGATTTGCTGATTGTTCTCCTTTGTATCCTAAGAAGATCCAAAGATCAGTTACTGCGTATTTATTCATTTTTATTACTTTCTACTTCTATTATTATTTTTCCTTTGCCCGGATCTTGGAGCGTGATTGTGTCTCTTGGTGGAATAGATTTAAGCTTTGGGAATGTTCTCATATCCTCTCATATCCTCCATAATATATCTGAGCTTATGATATATAAGAACAGATCAAATGTGTCCAGCTTGCTCCGGGGGCTATTGCTACTGTAGCATAAGGCGTATTGTTGAGCACACTGTGGGTATGATCGTTAGTATTCCGTGTCTTTCTATCCACGGTGGAACTACAAATCTGAGCATTCCTCCTGTTCATATGGGGATGTGGCTCTCGAGTTAATGGCGACCGCTCTGCAGAGCATGCTGGGAGTTATAGCTTGGCAACAGATGATTCTGAAAGCGAACAAAGAAACTTCATTAAAGTGCCATAGGCTTTGCTTGTAGACGTGAGCTCATCATTGCCCGCTTTGGCATACTTCGCCCCGGATCGGGCAATGGGTGCTGGGTTCGTGGCCGGGGCACATAGTTGGTATGGATTTTAGGAGTTGATTGTTTCCCCAAAGATGGGGCTGGCACTGGTGTTGTCTGCACACGCTCAGACAATGAGCATACTTGTCAATGCAGATGGTCAACAGTTGGATTTGATGATGACATTCGATATCTTCTGTCTGTAGCTTTAGTGACACGCCATTGTTGACTACTGAATGCAGCTAATTAAACTGTCTGCCCCCTTTCCTAACATTGATCGGGTGTGTAGAGCCTTGTCTGGGCAAACTGCGGTTGGTTTTTCCAGCTGCTGCAGAGCTGCAGTATCCCCCATAGGTTATGATGGGAGTTGTATTAAAGGGATTTGCTGCAGGAGCTACCTTAGACCAGGGAACAGGGTCCAAATTCTTTCGGTAGAGTGATGTAAACGTCTGTATCTGCTGAAAACCTTTGCACCTTCACGCCCACTGTGAATGTATCTTGAGCATACGTGTACATGTGTTTGGTATGTATCCCTTCCAGAGTGCACATATGTCATATGCACAAGACACACACGCATAGACTTTTTATTGTGTACACACTGCAATCATTAAAGCAAAACTTCAGCCAAAAATAACAAGATACAAATTATTTTTAAAAAATATATCAGCGTTTGCAGCAACATTCACCTTCAATCCAGAGATTTCCCCGCAGTATATTTTTCTGCCACTAGATGTCCTCAGTCTGATCATTCAACCCCCTTCCTCTGAGCCCAGGTAATCCTGGACCCGCCCCCAGCCTCTAACTGGACAGTGAAAGGAGAAGCAGCACAGTGATGCGCTTATCTCTGTGTCCCTCTGCTCTCTCTTCTCCTATCAGAGTGCTCCTTGTTAGCACATGAACTGATTGGCTGTTCGTGCTTCTTCTTCCTCTTACACTCCAGCCCTGCTGTCAAGCTGATACCAGGTCAATTCAAGGTACTTTTACTGCTTGCGTTTTTAAAAAAAACGCATTTAATGATGTATTACCATATACAGAGCTGCATTAATCTGTGTTTTTTATATTTGTCTGGAGCTCTGCTTTATATTTTAAATAATGCCGTTCTAATGAACTTTACAGCAGCTTTTTATAATCCACTTCTCAACCAGAATCAGATTGTGAGAGGGAAGTTATACACATGTGTACTATACAGGCTTCACAGCATAACATGTTTCAGGCACTGAGAGCTGGAGGGGGAGGTGTTTGTGCAGCTTACATTGGGAGGGGCTGGAGAGAAGGGACAATGCATCACTCATAGGTGCCTATATGCAATACAGAGGAGAGGCAGCAGACAGAGCGGTGACACCGGAAGCTACAGTAATTGGCACTGGTATCATCCACCTGGATATATATTTCAGGCAGTGGAGCAGCTAGACATTCTGTCACCCGGGAGGCAAAGGCTCAGAGCTGCTCCTCCCCAAAGGGAGAGGTTCTCATCTGCAGACCCAATGGTACCCCTCCTAAAGCGGCAACTGGGGCACCCCCCAGCTTCGGCCTTGGTTTCAGGGGTGTGTAAAATCACAAGGCGGTCTAGATGGAGCCGTGCCAGGTGGTGTGTTTGCTGCTCGCCTGGAGTTGTGCTCGAATTAAGTTTTCTTGCAGGCAGCTGGTAGGAAGCCACTTTCAAATAAGAGAAAATAGGAAACAATTTGTAGAACTGGAGAAAAGCAGAAATAGAACTTCTGTTCTCCTAATTACAAGTCAGCGTTTGTGGATGTGGTGCACTGCCTTCCTGTAAACACATCTCCGCTCTTCTCCTTGTCACATGTGTACTCTACAAACGACAACAAGGTGCCAATCTCCCAATTTCGAGCAGAAAGCAAACATTGCTCACATCCAGTTAAATGGACACACATGGCACAGCAAAGATTTGTGCGCCAATCAAATGGTTTTGGTTGAGTTCTAAAATTCTTTTTAGCAGGATAAGAGCAATTAAGTGATAGGTTGGGAATTGGTAACATGTAGAGTGACAAAGGATGGATGAAGGAAGGGTGAATGAAGACACCATGCGTGGACTGGCAATGGACTGCGCACTCACACACCATCTCATCACATCACATTAACAGGGTTATTCACAAAAGGGTGAATAGTTTGGAGAAGGCCGGAGAAGTGAACAATCTAGGACAACATAGCTGAACTGGAAAAATTCTCCAATTCAGCTCACTTTCCAGTTCAGCTATGTTGTCCTAGATTGTTCACTTCTCCTGCCTTCTCCAGACTCTTCATCCTTATGTGAATAACCCTGTAAAAACATTACAGGAGGACCTGGATAAAGTAGGGGAGTGGGCAACTTTATGGCAGATGAGGTTTAATGTTGCAAAATGTAAAGTAATGCGTTTTGGGGTTAAAGCAGGCAAGCGGAATACACATGGGAACTCCACTAGGTAAGTCAGAAATGGAAAAAGATCTGGGGGTCATAGTAGACCACAGATTAAATAATAGCTTGCAATGCCAGGCTGCGGCAAAAACAAAGCGAGCAGAGGACTGTCTTGTATTAAAAAGGGAATGCACTGTAGAGACAAAGCAATAATTTTGCCACTTTATAGATCATTGGTTCGGCCTCATCTGGAGTATGCGGTTCAGTTTTGGTCACCAGTCCACAGAAAGGATGTCCTTGAGCTGGAGAGGGTCCAGAGAAGGGCAACTAAACTAAATAAGGGGCTGGAGGAGCAAAGCTATGAGACAAGGTGACTACATTTAAACTTGTTCTCGCTGCAAGTGAGGCAATTAAGAGGGGATATGATTTTGATGTACAAAATGTTTAGTGGTGATGGAAACATCAGCAAAAAACTCAAAAACAAATACTAGAGGCCACCTCCGAAAATTGGTGGAGAAAAGATTTAACCACAAAGGGCGTAGGGGCTTCTTT